AACTTGACTGACCTGCACAGAGCCCTGACCCCAACCCCACCCCACATCTCTGGGATGAACTGGAACACTATCTGTGAGCCAGGTCTTTTACCCCCCAACATCAGTGCCTGACCTCACTGAGGATCTCTTGGCTGGGAGTAACGTCATGCACCCAGGCTCTAAAATATTATGGAACGTCTTCCTGGATGTTACAGCAGCACATTAGGTTTTTAGAATGAAATGTTCTACACTCAGGTACGTTCAGGAGTTTATATAGTGGCTGTCCTCACATAGAGAGAAAAACAGAGAAATACTTTGACGATTATCTCATCAACTTTAGAGCAAACTCAAGCAATAACACTTGTATTAATTCTTGTAATGCAAATAATCAGATTGCCCATTTATTCAATACTTCAATGGTTCCTCTAATCCTGATCTCCATTGCTGACCTTTGAACTCTCTGTGGGTTCATTATACAGTCTATGGGTGGAGCTAATTCTCCATTCTGAGATACTAAGGACAGACCAGCCTAGGTGACCAGCTCTGTCTGAGAGCTAAAGGAGTTTATGTGCGTTAGAAGGTATAAAACAAGACAAGGAATTTTACACTTTTATATCATTTATGTTAACGAACCGAAAACAAACAATAAACAGAAGTAGAGGAAGTATGCTACTCTGAAACACACACATCGTCTCTTCATATGAAGATGATAACTTAGAAAAAATGGCAATATACAGCACTTTGACAGCAAGAAATCACACAGACAGACTCCAGCAGTCCTTGTTGGCAGGTCCGATGTATTTGCCAGTATGGTGTCGTTCAGTGTTAGCGGTGTTTGCCAACGCGGTTGAAGCGTCTGTAGAGGAAGCGGATCCTCTTCTCCATGCTGTGTCTTTCCAGAGTCATCATTCTGTCTCCCACCATCTTCTTCTTTCTAATTAGACGCTGCAGTTCATTGCCTTTGAAAGCCTTCAGCCAGCAGGGACCCACAATGAGGTCTTTGGGATGAGCTTTAAAGTCCCCTGCAGACACAAAGTGAGGAGATCAGTGTATGTGTGACAGAGGAGATATTGCAAGCAAATGTGTAGGGAAAGCACAGCTGGTGAAGAGAACTGAGGTACAGATCTGAACTCAGTAAGGCACCATCAAGGCCACATTGGTCATATTCATGAATACACAATTTATCTTTTCAAGTGGACTCCTAAGGACTTCTTCTGCAGTTGTTGAGGATATGATAAGATTGTATGCAAGCTCACCGGTTCTCAATTCAGCCCTTTTATGAAAAAATTAAGTTTAGTAACTCAAACAGAGGGCTTCCGTTCTCCTACATTAACAAACAAACTCAATCAGACCATATAAAAAAACCCACTTTTGAATCCATAGCTGCATTGTGTGTCCTTACAGTTTCATTACATGCTCACACAGAAGAAACTTAATTAGACAAACAGGGAAGCAAATTCCACCGTCTAAAATACACATTTTGTCTGGTTCGGGACACTTACCTAAGATGCCTATGTTATCATAAACTCCAAACATGCTCCTCTTCTCAGTCCACCTGTCCACCTTCTTCAGCTCAGGGATGGCATGCATCCTGATCCGGCAGCATGTACCTGAAGAAAGGACATTGTTTCATGTCAGTATTCAGAGTATCTTTTGCACATGCACTGCAATTAGAACTGGTACAATTAGTAGATTAATTAATTAGTCAATCAAAATAAAATGAATCTCGAACATTTTTCAGTTACTGAAGTCATTTATCGTGCAAAAATACCAAATATTCCCTGGTTTCCACTTCTCAAATGTGAGGGTGTGCAGTTCTTTCTGTTCTGTATGACTATAAACTGGAAATATTTGTGGTTTAGATTGCAGTTCAGACAAAACAAACTATTTGAAAGCATCACCGTGGGGAAATTTACAATGCAACAAAAAACAAAACATTGCACGATAATGAAAATAATTGTTATTTGCAGACACGACTCTCATTAGTGCACATTTACAGGGAAGTAAATTTAACTGACTTCAGGTGATGTTAATAGCTTCATAATTTATATTTATTGTAATTTTTTTTCGTACTATCGTGTACTCTTCCATACTTGTTTACAGCTGCAAACAGGTTTCTAGTTTTGATTTACTAGTTCTGGATCCTCACGTGGTCTGGTGCTTCTGCAACACCTAAATGATGAATAAAGTCCTGTCTAATTTTCATTTAATTCAGTGCTAATGCGTAGTCATCAAATGAATTAACAAGAGCATTGACTGTGGGGCATAAAGAGCAATGTTGTAGCTGCAGCACAGACACAAACAGTAACACCAGTACCAGTACCCACCAGTAGAAATGCTCCTGGCTGTGTGGAGCAGAGTCCCTGCAGCTCTCAGTAACCCTCCCAGCACCGACATGTCTGAAGTGTATCTACAATAACACACACACACACACTCAGCTTCATGAAAGGTATCCAAATCTCTCAGATAGAGTTGTTATTCGACGTGTATCAACCTTCGTTAGCTTTACAGATAACTCAGCTACATTGACCCTGAGCTTTAGCTGGCACATTATTTACATTGAAGGCAGTTTTATGAACGTTACCGGTTTCCACGTCCAGCAGCGATCTTCTGCCCAGTTAAAACTCTAGTTATTAGTACAACAGAGCATAAAGTCCAGCCTTATAAGGAGATATTACGCTTAAAAATATGTGTTATTGAGGCTGCAACATGGTCCTGGTGGCCGCTTCCATCTTACTCCGTGTCCCACAATGCATAGCGCCGGTACCGTATTGTCTTAAGAGCAGCGCAAAAAAACAACAACAATCATTTGACGGTCTTGGTACTTTTTCTACTGCATTTTTCACCCAGTAGAGGGAGGTAATGCAAAAACCATCAAATAAACAGCAATATGAATGAAAAAGGGAGGTAATTTACACGTAAATTCAGAAACTTAATCTCAAAAGATGTCTTTTGACACTGGCCAGGTCTTTGCCTTTTTCGCTTATGCTCTGCAGCTTCTGCATAAATGTAAGTTTCATCAAGGTGATGCACAATCTTGCAGTGGAGGAAGATTTCTTATCCTTCACTTAATTAAAAGTAGTAATGCAGTGAATATTGCATTCACATGTCACGAGTAAAAGTACTTAAATACAGAACAATGGTCCCCGGCAGTATTACTATTAGCTTATAGGCCTATATGATATATTTGAATTAATAACACTGGTGTATTAATGTGTATGTTGCTTTTTAGTGCTGTAGATGTTTAAGGTTGTGTTGATGTTTTGTATTTTATTTAGTATTTAGTTTATATAGTGTTTGTAGCATCACTGTCCTGTAAGATACGTAGGTTATCTCTAGAAAGTCAACTTTTATAGCACATAAAACCGCTTTGTGACATATTTTACATCTTATCCAAGATGGTTTATGAATTAAAAAAAAGGTTTTTAGTAGGAACTCCTGGACTGCATTTCAATATGTATACATAGGACTCCCTGACGAAAGCTTATTGCCCTAACCCTAACACTTGTTTTTAGGCCTAACTTTACCATGTCTAGACAATTTTTTTGTTTAAAAGAGAGAACCTGGTAGTTTTCCTGTGATTTTTAGGGGTCTAAAATATTTATTGAGCTTAAGAAGCAGTATTATTTTCTCAACTCACAAAGGAACACTTAGTCCTTCAGTTAAAGTGAAAACTGAATACACTTTTGTATGCCTCTGTAGTAATGTTGTATAAAATAGAAATATAATAATAATCAAGTAAGTACAAGTACAGTATGAGTTTTAAAATGATTTATTACTATACATAGGTACATATATATGTAATGTTGGAGAACTCAAAGTTTGCAGGGCTTCATTCCAACAAAAAATAAATAAATATTGATCAGCTGTTAAACCTGTTGCTGGAAAGAAAATATGAAAACCTGTTGACATCCAGGTTGTTATTTACTCTCTCTCTCTCTTTTCTCTCTCTCTCTCTCTCTCTCTCTCTCTCTTCATACGCACACCACAAACACAAAAACACACAGGCAGAGACTGATACTTTCAGTCTTACTGTAATGAAGACCTAGATGGAATATTTTGTCATTTTCAAAGAAACAAGTACGCCAAAACTGATCTTTGTCTTTATTTCATTTTTGCTAAGACGTCAGTGATTGTGTGGAAATTTAAAACCAGACAAAACATTTTTGAACATTAGATTCCATTCAGTTTTAACATAAACCACACTGCAGTGGCCTGCAGAGAACAGTTATGGTCTAACTGTAAGTGTGCAGAGTGTGTGTATAACTTAATGTGACTTAAATTAATGCAGTAAGAAAATTAAGATTTGACTTTCTTTGTGCAAATACATACCAATACTTCCACATCCACAAAGACACAAAGTACAAATGATAAAGTACAAATCAATTTATGTGTGCATAACATGAAAGGAGAATCTGCTATAGACTTAATAAAAGATTAGCATGCAAAATATGCAGTATTTTAGACTAAATTTAACATTTATTCATCATCAAACATATAATATGCACTTTGTTTTTGCATCACAGTCATGTTTCCATGTAGTACTTAACGCTGCGCTGAGCAAAACGCTGACTTGACTAAATTAAAGAATTTCTCAGCAGAGCAGCATTTTTTCATCTGTGCTCTGCTTCCTCTGCCAGTAAAACTCAGTGGAACATCATACTTCATCACCTACATATAGGGACTAGTATGCCGTGATATAATCATAGCAGTTATTGAAATTTAACCACAGCTGTGTTTACAATAATTCAGAAAGTCTTACGCCTAAATATTTAGTGTTTTATTGCTTATTAAGGGTTAATGCTGAAAAACTGTGTCAGTGATAAGAGCAGACATAATGCAGCGAGAGCTTGACGCAGGAACAAACTACTCACTTGCTGAATTTCGACAGAAGCATCTGATTTGACTATTTTCCAAGCTCATCATTATTAACATAATCATGTGCATTCCCTCAAGCTCAAAGCTCAGTTGTTTCCGTGCAAGGGGCTTTTTCCTTCACATCACTTTCACTTCATATTCAGATACAGTAGAGGTGACTAAACATCACCTTTAGGAAAGACCACCTCACAAAGAGTGACACACACATGCCCCCAACACTGACACACTAAGGGATGCAGTTGTTGTTTTTTTAAGCACAGCCTGAAACAAATATGACACTGATTTAAATTTGAAGGCTGACAGCGTTTGCTGTGTGGAGGAAGTTCTAGGTGGATGAGATGAAAAGATTTAAGAGTAACACTCACCCAGCAGTTACCAGGGAAAATGCCTCCAAAAGGTGAAGAAAAACAGATCTGTGGTTTCACCCACACATTTTCAGGTGTATCTATCCATCTCTGTGACTGTCTCTATCTATCTGTGCATCTGTATCTATCTGTGCATCTGTATCCATCTGTGTATCTATCTATCTATGTAGTTGTGCTTTTAACTTACTGTAGGTTTTCCACTCCTTTTTTATTTCAGTTTTTTAGAGTACAAAATTCTTTGTTGAAAAAAGCAAAAATACCTGAAACCTGATAGACCTTTGATGTTTTTAGATAGATAGATAGA